AAATTTGAATATAAATTTTGCTGAAAATAATTCAAAACAAATTGCAGCAGTACATTGATAGGGAACTACCAGAAATTAAAGCTGGATTCAGAAGAGGATGTAGAATGAGGGATATCACTGCTAAAAGCAAAGAATACCAGAAAGATGTTTACCTGTGTTTTATTAACTGTGCAAAGGAATTTGCCTATGTGGATCATAATAAAATATGATTAACATTGTGAAGAATGGGAATTCCAGAATACTTAATTGTGCTCATGAGTAACCTGTACATTGTTGTTGTTGTTATGTGCCGTTGAGTCAGACTTGACTCATAGCGACCCCTCCTTGGGTTTCCGAGGCAATATCACTATGGAAGTAGATTGCCCCATCTTCCTTCTGAGGAGTGGCTGCTGGGTTTGAACCGCCACCCTTCTGGTTAGCAGTCAAGAGTCTTAGCACTATCGTACCAGAGCTCCTAACCTGTACATAGACATAGGTAGTCTTTTCAACAGAACAAGGGATGGTGAATGGTTTAAAATCAGGAGAGGTGTGTGTTAGGGTTTTATCTTTTCACCATACATATTCAATCTGTATGCTGAGGAAATAATCTGAGAAGCTGGACTATATGAAGAAGAATGTAGCATCAGGATCGCGGGAAGACTTGTTAACAACCTGCAATATGCAGATGACACAACCTTGCTTGCTGAAAGTGAAGAAGACTTGAAGCACTTAATGATTAAGATAAAAGAATACAGCCTTCAATATGGATTACACCTCAAAATAAATAAAACAAAAATCCTTACAACTGCACCAATAAACAACATCATGATAAATGGAGAAAAGATTGAAGTTGTCAAGGATTTCATTTTATTTGGATCCACAATCAATACCCATGGAAGCAGCAGTTAAGAATCAAATGACGTACTGCATTGGGTAAATCTGCTGCAAAAAACCTCTTTAAAGTGTTAAAGAGCAAAGATGTCACTTTGAAGACTAAAGTGTGCCTGACTCAAGCCATTGTCTTTTCAATAGCCTCATGTACATGTGAAAGATGGACAATTAATAAGGAACACTGCAGAAGCATTGATGCATTTTAATTATGGTGTTGACCAAGAGTATTGAATATACTATGGACTGCCAGAAGAATGAACCAATCTGGGAAGAAGTACAGCTGCAATGCTCCTTTGAAGCAAGAATGACCAGACTTTGTCTCTTGTACTTCGGTCATGTCATCAGGAGGGACCAATCCCTGAAGAAGGCTATTATGCTTGGTAGAGTGTTAGCAAAAAAAAAAGGAAGCCCCTCAACAAGATGGAGTGACTCAGTGGCTGCAATGATGGGCTCAAGCATAGTAATGATTGTGAAGATTGTGCAAGACAGGGCAGTATTTCATTCTCTTATACACAGGGTTGCTACGAGTTGAAACTGACTTGACAGAACCTAATAACTATATATAATTCTTGGTTGGCAATTTTTTGCTTTCAAGATTTTATATACATGGCATACCGTTGCCTTCTTGCTTATATTATTTCTTCAGAGAAATCAGAGCTTAGTCTTATTGATTCTCCTTTGTAGTTAACATTTTGTTTTTCCTGAACTGCTTTCAATATTCTTTCTTTGTCTTTGGTTTTGGAAAGTTTGATTATGTCTAGGTGATTTTCTTTTGGAGTCTACCCTGTTTGGGCTTCATTGTGCTTCTCAAATGCATATCATGGGATTTTCAAATGGAGACTCCTGCCCTGCAGCCCTGAAATCATCATGCCATGTACAAAGCCAAGTCAGTCTTTGCTGGGAAGTACTTTGAGTGGAAAGCCATGAGGGAAAGAAGAGATGGGAAACTTACTTTTCCATTTCAGAAAAGAAATATATATCATTGACCAAAAAGTTGACGGTAATAATCTTGTGGCCAAATATACGGCGCTTTATAAGTGTTACTTCTCCATTCTCGTGGTCTGTGCTCCGGACGTTAGGGGGGACTGTGCCTGGGCGTCCTGGTACATTTACTGGTACAGAGAAATCTGAAAAAGAGAAAGGAATTTAACTGATTTATCAAGCCACTCTTAAGCCTGAAGTCTTCCACTTGGGCATAACTGAAATGAAGAAAAAACTGTGGACCATCTTTGGGTCTTTTGAAACAGTCATTCTCTAGCACTGGGCTCAACTTTGAGACTTGATGGACTAGTAAAATGACTGCTGAAAAGTCTATCTGCCCAGATGCTATGACAACACATATTTTTTTTTTGGGAAAAAAAAGTCACCTTAGCACTGAAAGATGTTTGCCTGGTGCTTGCCTAATAGAAATATAATCACACTGTAGTTATGCTAGAAGCTGTGGTGGCATAGTGCCTAAAGCATTTGACTGCCAACCAAAAGGCTGGTGGTTCAAACCCACCAGCCACTCCTCAGAAGGAAGGTTGGGCAATCTACTTCTGTAGTGATACCGCCTCAGAAACCCAAGAAGGGGTCGCTATGAGTAGGATCCGTCTCAAATGCAGCGAGTTTGTTGGTTTTTTGTTTTGGCTGTAGTATGCTAATCCCTAATATTTCTGTGGAGATTGTGAAAATAGGACATGCAGATGTATCCTTGAAGTGGAGTGTGTGTGTTCTGAAGAAGTTTATTCAAGATTTCTTGGGGAAGTAATTTAGGAGTTATATAGGAAAGCAACACAAAGAAAAAACTGAAACATGAAGAGTAAAAAAAAGCTTTTTTAAAGCAATTGAAGGAATGAAGGTAAAGAACAGAAAAGAGACAGGAGTAAGTAAAGGAAAGCATAGCATAGAAGGTTGTAGGAGGTTTGAATTGTGTGTCATAAGGAAAACATTTCTTTTAGGAAGTTTCTTGGCTAGGGTGTATCCAAAGACACCCATGCACAGGGATTCAGAGCTGAGAAGAGAACAGTGTGGGGCTGGATGTGACAGATAGACCTAAATTAATTGCCTTGCTGAGTTTAGAAAATTGTCTAACTGTCAAATTTACTAATTTTCCTAGAACTCTTTTATTCTGGGTACTGTTTTAGAAATAATTGATGTGGGCATGGTGTTCCCTATGGTAGAAGTATGATTCATTTTGGAGAAGTGTCACATATAAGATGGGAGGATAACTACATCGTTCAATAAATACCTACCACCTATTATGTCCTGGGCACTCTCCTAGGTAGTAAGGTAAGATCTGTATAAAGCACAAGTCCCTTATCTTACTATCTTACAATCTCTCTTTCTCTCAGACTTGAGTTTGTGAATTTGAAGGAAAAAGAAAATAAGCCTGGATAACTGATACAATGGTCAGAGATTTTAGGAAAAGGTGATACAAAATTCACCCAAGTAGCCTGGGAGCTATTGGTATTTTCAGTAGCCTCATATGCATGCCAAAGCTGGACAATGAATAAGGAAGACTGAAGAAGAATTGAAGCATTTGAATTATGGTGTTGGTGAAGAATGAACAAATCTGTCTTGAGAAGAACAGCCAGAATGCTCCTTAGAAGTGAGGATAATGGATTTAGTATCACGTACTTTGGGCGCGTTATTAGGAGGGAGAAGTCCCTGGAGAAGGACATCATGCTTGGTAAAGTAGAGGGTCAGTGGAAAAGAGGAAGACCTTTAACGAGATGGAATGACACAGTGGCTGCAACAATGGCTCAAACATAGCAACGGTTGTGACGATGCTGCAGGACTTGGCAGTGTTTCATTCTGTTGTACACAGGGTCACTAGGAGTCAGATCTGACTCGATAGCACCTTGGTGTGCTGTGGTGGGGAGGCAGGCTGATTGGTATTCTTTCTCTATTTCTATAGTATAAATATTCCCACCATGATTGATTTCACTCTACCACTAGTTTAACAACTGGCTCACAGAGTTCTGGAATATTTAACAATTGGCTTTTACTGAGTCAGTGTGAATCAGTTCCAGCATACTATTACCTAGGAGTCATATTTGACTTCTTCCTCTTTCTAAGTCCAATTAGTAATCTTATCCCATTGATTCTATTTTCCAAATATGTTTCAAATGTCCCCACTGTCTCTCTTGCAACCATATCAATTCCAACCACTAATATCATTCATTTAATTTATTTAAAAAACCATTTAACTCAAGGCCAGGACCAAAATAAGGTGACTGAGGCTTTTGTTATTAGGTGCCATAGAGTAAGTTCTGACTCATAGCAACCCTATGTACAACAGAAGGAAACATTCCCTGGTCCTAAGCCACCTTCACAATCATGGCCAGATTTAAGCTCACTATTTCAGCCACTGTGTCATTCCATCTTGTTGAGAGTCTTCCTCTTTTATGCTGACCCTCTTCTTTACCATGCAGGATGTCCATCTCCAGGGACTGGTGCCTCTAAAACATGTCAAAAGTATGTGAAGTGAAGTCTTGCCATTGTTGCTTTTGGATGTACTTCTCAAAACAGATTTGCATGTTCTTCTGCCAGTTCATGGTATAGTCGATATTCTTCAATGCGATAATTCAAATGCATTAATTCTTCTTCAGTCTTCCTTATTTACTATCTAGCTTTTGCATGCATCTAAGAAGACTGAAAATAACATAGCTTGGGTGAAGTGCACTTTAGTCCTCAATGTCACATCTTTGCTTTTTAACATTTTAAAGATGTCTTTTACAGAAGATTTGCCAAATGTAGTGAGTTGTTTGATTTCTTACTATTGCTTCCATGGGTGTTGATTGTAGATCCAAGTAAAATTAAATCCTTGACAACTTTAATCTTCTCTGTTTGTCATGATGTTACTTATTGGTCCAGTTGTGAGGGTTTTTGTTTTCTTTATGCTGAGGTGTATCCTGAAGGCTGTAGTCTTTGATTTACATCAGTAAGTGCTTCAAGTCATCTTCACTTTCAGCAAGCAAGGTTGTATTGTCTGCATATCAAAAGTTCTTATTAATCTTCCTCCAATCCTGATGCTGTGTTCTTCTCCGTATAGACCAAATTTCTCAGATTATTTGCTCAGCATATAGACTGAATATGTATGGTGAAAGACACAACCCTGATGCACACATTTCCTGATTTTAAACCATGCAGTATACCCTTGTTCTGTTTGAACGACAGCCTTCTGGTCTATGTACAGTTTCCTCATGAGCAAAATTAAGTGTTCTGTAATTCCATTCTTCTCCATGTCATCCATGATTTGTTATGTCAATGTACTGTTGGCAATCTTTTTGAATTATCTTCAGCAAAATTTTACTTGCCTGTGATATTAATGATATTGTTCAATAATGTCATCATTTTTTTGGATCACCTTTTTTTGGAATGAACACAAATATGAATCTCTTCCGGGCATTTGGCCAGATAATTGTCTTCCAGATTTCTTGGCATAGATGAGTCAGCACCTCTAGTGTTGCATTCGTTCGTTGAAACATCTCAATGCGAATTCCGTCAATTCCTGGAGACTTGTTTTTTGCCAATTCCTTCAGTGTAGCTTGGCCTTCTTCCTTAAATACAATTGAGTCTTGATCATATGCCACCTCCTGAAATGATTGAATGTGGCCAATTCTTTTTAGTACAGTGACTGTGTATTCCTTCCATCTTCTTTTGATGCTTTCTGCATCATTCAATATTTTGCCAACAGAATCCTTCAGTGTTGCAACTTAAGACTTGAATTGTTTTCTTTAGTTCTTTCTGCTTGAGAAATACTGAGTATATTCTTCTCTTTTGGTTTTTTCACTCCAGGTCTTTGCACATTTCATTATAATATTTTACTTTGTCTTCTTTGAAATCTTCTCTTCAGCTCTTTTATTTCAACATTTCTTCCATTTGCTTTAGCTATTCTCCATTCAAGAGCAAGTTTCAGAGTCTCTTCAGGCAGCCATTTTGGTCTTTTCCTTCTTTCCTGTCTTTTTGACGACTCATTGCTTTCTTCATATGTGATGTCCTTGATGTCATCCCACAACTCATCTGGTCTTTAGTCATTAGTGTTCAATGCATAAAATCTATTCTTGAAATGCTCTCTAAATTCAGGTGGGATATGTGGACTTAATTTTCTTCATCTTCAACTTGAACTTGCATATGAGCAATTGATGGTCTGTACTGCAGTTATCACCTGGCCTTGTTCTGACTGACGATATTGAGATTCTACATTGTCTCTTTCCACAAATGTAGTTGATTTGATTTCTGTGTATTGGGTCTGGGGAGGTCCATTTGTATAATCACCATTTATGTTATTGAAATACATTTCCAATGAATAGGTCGTTGATGTTGCAAAATGCTATCATGTGGTCACTGGAGTCATTTCTATACCCACGGCTGTGTTTTTCAACTACTGATCCTTCTTCTTTGTTTCGAAATTTCACTTTTCAATCACCAGTAATCATCAATGCATTCATTGTGCATTTGATCAATTTCAAACTTCAAAAGTTGGTGAAAATCTTAATTTCTTCATCTTTGGCATTTTGGTTGGTAGATAAATTTGAATAGTCATATTACCCAGTCTTTGTAGGATATTATCCTATCACTGACAGTGTTGTACTTCAGATCTTGATATGTTCTTTTTGAAAATTAATGTGATGCCATTCCTCTTCAATTTGTCATTCCCGGCATAGTAAAACATATGATTGTCCAATTCAAATGACCAATATCAGTCCATTTCAGCTTACTAATGCCTAGGATATCTCTCTTCAAGTGTTCCATTTTATTTTTGACAAATTCTAATTTTCTTAGATTCACACTTTGTACATTCCAAGTTCTGATTATTAATAGATATTTGCAGTTGTTCCTTCTTATTTTGAATCATGCCACATAAAAAAAAAAATGAAGATTCTGAAAGCTTTACTCCATGCACATCATTAAGATCAACTCTACTTTGAGGAGGCAGCTCTTCCCCTTCCAACCTGAGAGACTTGTCTTCTGGCACTATATTAGACAGTGTTCTGCTGCTAGTCATAAGGTTTTCATTGCCAATTTTTTAAAAGTACATCCCCAGATCCTTCTCCCTAGTCTGTCTTAGTCTGGAAGCTCTGCTGAAATCTGTCCACTATGGGTGACCCTGCTGGTATTTAAAATACCAGTGGCATAGCTT